ACCACCACAGAAGCTTATCCTAGTAAATTAAAATAGTTTGGAAAATCAAAAAGTGCACGCATTTTATTCCTGACTTTTAAAATATGTATATTATTTACGTTTAAAAATTTAGCACTATTATTTTAATAGGTCGATTACAGTAGTTGATGATGCTCTAGCACGCAGGCAATCGACGCACACTACGGTAGTATAGAAACGACGCATTGCGCGAAATCCACTGACGGAGGTCCAACCTCGACAAGCGCTCGCGCAGTAGTGATCGCGGATGGCCGGCGCAGTAAAATATATGGTACTTTTATTTAATTAATTAAAATATAATAGTAACGATTTAAAAATAAAATAGTAAGAATAATAGTATAATTTAAGCAAATGTTGATGATTATTTTGGTATAAATTTTATGTCTAAATGATGTAGAACTTTGGAAATGTAGAGGCTTTTATCGAAGCCTTTTCGTTCGTTTTTTGAATTATGTCGATTTTATTTCCTAGCGTGAAAGGCATATAACGAAAATATATTCCATAATTATTAAAGTGTAGGGTATTTGAAAGATAAAAATACTTTTTTTGATGGTCGATATTCAATAGAATCTACAAATTAGAGCTCGCAAATCATGTCTTCGAGAGTTTTTGCCTAAACATGTATCGGGAGAATGATTATAACTGAATAAATAAATAAGGTATCTAAAATTCGCTTCGAGATTATTTGAGAAGAGAAAAAGAACTATTTTTACCAAGTAATTGTTATTTCAAGCAACGAACGATAAACATATAATTTCAACGAGGATACCTTGTAACTTCGACTTTTTTTTTGTAATAGGCCTCTTAAGCACTTTCGCTCCGGGAAGTCTAAAGTATGTCAACATGTTTAGTGACGTCAAAGAAAATATACACTACGTGAAAATAAACGACACTTAAGCATGTGTGCACGTAAAATCGCTTGTGGCTATGTGTGGGTCTCTGGATGTGTGCGGAGGCCTTGAGAGACGCGCGGGGCGTAGAACGGGCCGACGCCGACTGCCCTGGCCTAAGGCAAGTACGTAGGAGTTGGTTCACGTCTCGTCTTTCTAAGCTCACGCACCGTACGCAAGCAAAGACTGACTGCGCTTTATAAAATAATAATGCCTATTCATTTGTATATAATTAATTTACCTTTATATAGTTACAATATTTGTTTATATGTATGACACATTTATGTTATATATAATAGTTTTAAAATATATTTCCTGTCCATCCAAAAGTTGTCTGAAAGAGATCGCTCTTAGCGATAAGACCACCCATTGTACCACATTTATTTTTCTCACTTTTTGTTTTTTGGCGTAAAATAAAGTGTTATCTATCTATCTATGCTTCACTACGGATTTTCTCAAAAAATATCCATACGGTTACAAATTTTTGCAATTCTTAGAAATAATAATAAAAATTATAGAAATCATCGAAAAAGCCAAAAATATAAAAGAGTAAGTAATTTTTAAATGGTAGTAGGTATCACTGATTATTGCGTACTGAAATACTAAGTATTGGTTAATTTTTTAAAATTACCATTAACTGTCGAGCATATTTTGTTTTGTAGGAAATTTTTATTTAAAGATATTTAATAAAACTTGATTTTAAAGTTGATCGTATCTTTCACTACCTAAATACATAAGTTTACATTATATAATATATACATACTATGTATCTTCTTTGGCCCAAGTCTATAATTTTCAATTTCGGTTCGGTATCAACCTTAGCGTTACACGATCCGGCTTAATGTCATCAGCGCCTAAACTCTCACGTACAGGGAGCGTCACCGCTGTGGTAACGTCCCAACCATTATATCGGTTCTGATAGACAACAAATCCTTGCAATAGAACATCGATTCCTACTAATGATGATTCGCGAGGCTATTGAAATTAAAGAACACCCCAATTTTAATAGGGAAGATGGCTGAGTGCATTAGCTCTATTCTACTGCATTAATTCTATTCTATTTTATTCGTATTCTATTCTATTCTAACTATGAGATCAGGTCGTTAATCATCCCAGTCCTCCCGTGATCATGGGTGCTGTAAACAAACAAAACAACGACTTAGTGGTGTTTTTTTTCTACTTTTAGGATTATACGTAGCTTGGTTAATCCATTTCTTATCTAATATAGTAGTTAATTAGAGTTGAAATATATTACATTAGAAATGGATTAACCATTTTCTAATCTAATATATTTAAACTCATTCCAAAGTAGTCATATTCATTCCATAACAAGTGGAACAGTCTGTTCATTTGATTAAATATTTAACGTGATTTTAATACAAATAAATGTCAATCAACATATTGTTACGAGCTTGGGGTTCGAGGTAATTAAGAACTGCCGAGTGAATTATCAAAATTGACTATATAATTACACAACACAGTTCGCCGTTATTTCGCTTCGAAGTATTCCCTTGTATCGCCAATTCAATACTGCCCCGGTTGTGGTCTGTACCGGCCTTATATAGGTCCTCGGATAGTTTCCAGAACCTTCTACTGTAGCGACATCTAGAATGTTCGAGTACATATCGGTCCCGAAATTTCTGGAAGGATCTCGACTCTCCTAGTTCTACTACTCGACACTAGAGGGCACTAGTGTAACTAGTGTTGCCATGTACAAGACATTAATAGTGGCGCGCAACACTGCCCCCTCCTAAGACATGCTCGTCCCGAGCATTATTGGCTCCATAACAACGCGCCAGTCGATCCACATGGACAATCTTAGGAGTTCCTCTGGCAACTTTCTGTATACGGTAGGTTACGTCATTGATCCTTGTCACAATCCGGTACGGTCCGTCCCATTTAGCTTGAAGCTTGGGAGATTTCCCTTTGCTGCTAACTGGATTGTGTAACCACACTAGTGAACCTTCGTCAAACCCCTTGTTGTTCATTTTGCGGTCATTCCGTATTTTCATCTTCTCAGACGTTTTGCTGGCCCGTCTGTCTGACGTTCTCATAAATGTCATTCATTTTGTTCCGCAAGTCATTTGCATAATCGGTTATACTGCGTGGGGCATCAGGTGGTATTCCGGTGATAAGGTCTGCAGGCAGCCGTAATTCTCTCCCAAATTTTGCGAAAGCTGGTGTACTTTCGTGAACAGCGCATCGATATGACAACGAAAACGGTTGTATGTGCCTGTCCCAGTCTCGTTGCCATTTTCCACAACTTTTGCTAGGTACCTCTCCAATGTCTGATTAAATTGTTCTACCATTCCATCAAATTGTGGGTGGTAAGAAGTTGTTCATATTTTATGAGTACCCATAACTTGGCAAGTTTCCTGGCATATTTGAGACTCAAAATTCCTTCCTTGATCGCTGTGAATCTCTAAAGGTACTCCAAAACGACAGAAGACTTCATGAACTAGTTAACTAGTTCATCTGCAACTGTTGAAGCTTCTTTATTTGGAATGGCGAAGACTTCTGGCCACTAAGTGAAAAAATCCAGCACAACCAAGAAATACTTGTTACCACTTTCACTTTCCGGAAACGGCCCCGCAACGTCAATGGCTATCCTCTTCCATGGTGCACCAACATGGTATAATTTCAATGCGCCTCTACTACGTATTTGAGGTCCCTTTACAGCCGCATAGCTTGTACATTTGCGGCACCAGTCCTCGACATCGTCACGACAGTGGACCCAGTAAAACCGTTCTCGGATCTTCAGGAGAGTTCGGTTAACTCCCAGGTGGCCTCCTGAACAACCACTATGGTACAGCTGTGGAACATCCGGTACTTTAGCCTTAGGGACAAACATTTGCAAATGACACCTGTCTCCCTGACCATTTTCCCATTTACGGCACAGGACTCCATCCTGAATCAGCAAGCTGTCCCATTGGGCCCAATAGCTTTTCGTGGTCAAACTCATCGCTGAGACGTCGCTCCACTTGAGCTTAGGAGCACTAGCCTTCATCCATTCCATAATCGGCTTAATGTCCGAATCTTTCAGCTGTGCAAGTTGTAGCCTGTCCTTCCACTCGTTGCTGAGCTGGTCTATCTTGAGTATCCTCACAGATACCACTTCTTTGCCCTCTTGCCTAGTACAATTCTTGCAATCTTCAGGGCAAGGTCTTCTTGATAATGCATCTGCATTGCCATGAGATTTCCCGCTGCGATGTTCGATCACAAAGTCGTATTCCTGTAGTAGTTCAATCCATCTCGCAAATTGTCCATCCGGATTTTTGAACTGCAATAGCCATTTCAGTGCAGCATGGTCAGTTCGTAAGTAGAATTTCCGCCCCAGGAGATATTTGCTAAAATGCTGCAAGGACTTTACCACAGCAAGCAATTCCCGTCTTGTGACACAATAGTTCCTATCCGGCTTTGACAACAACTTGCTGAAGTACGCTATAACAATCTCTTGATCACCATTCCGTTGAGACAACACATCGCCAAGTCCTATATCACTTGCGTCTGTGTCAACTATAAATTCCTTGCCCGCATCAGGATACCCCAAGATAGGTGTTTTGCACAGACGGTTCTTGAGCTCCTGGAATGCAATTTCGCAACTTTCATCCCAGTAGAAATGTCGCTTCTCCTCGGTTAGCTTGTGCAGAGATTTGGCTATATCTGCAAAGTTCTTCACAAATCGCCGATAGTAAGAGCACAAACCCACAATGCTCTAACCTGTGTCTTGTCTTTTGGAACCGGCCAATCCTTGACAGCGACAATTTTCTCTGGATCCCCACCTTCTTCCGACACTACATACCCCAAAAAGCTAACTTGCCGTTTGAATAGTGAGCACTTCTTCGTGCTCAACTTGAGGTTGGCACTCTGGATCTTCATGAGCACGCGTTCCAGGTTTTGAAGGTGTTCCTCAAACGTACGGCCTACGATGGTATTGTAATCCAAGTAGACCAGATAGGCATCGCCAATTAGCCTGGTAAGTACAAGCTCCATCAACCTTTCAAACGTTGCTGGAGCATTGCACAATCCAAACGGCATGACTTTAAATTGCCACAGACCCTTTCCTGAGGAGAATGCAGTTTTCACCTTGTCTTAAGGGTGAATTTCAACCTGCCAGTAGCCAATTTTCAGGTCCAACGTACTAAACCACTTTACGCCTGTAAGCATATCCAGCGTGTCATCAATCCTTGGCAAGGGATAGCTGTCCTTCTTCGTAACGTCGTTCAGGTGGCGGTAGTCAACACAAAACCACATGCTGCCATCCTTCTTCTTTACCAGCACCACAGGTGAACACCATGGACTAGATGAAGGTTCAATAACACCATCCTTCACCATTCCCTCAATCATGGTTTCCACTTCCTTTTCACGTGCTACAGGCAATCTTCTAAGCCGTTGACGAATAGGCAATTCTTCTCCTGTGTTTACTTTGTGTTGAACTAATCCAGTCCTTCCTATGTCAGCTTCCTTTTTCGAGAAAACATTGGCGTACTTGAGTAACAACTTCTTCGCCTTGACCATTTCATTCGGGGAGAGAACGCTGCGACAGTCTTCTAAAAGTGTGGTCACTCTAGTTTGTCCATCCTTGCTGGGGGTCCCAGTCGATAGATATTGGCACCGACGCAACCAATCCCCTTCCTCACTAGTACCAACCAATGTGCCTTTTTCTATAATCTGTTCCTGATCACAAAGGTTCAGCACACGTACTCCTAAGATGTCGGTGGTTCTGACCAAGGTTCGAGCCACTTTCCATGGAAGGTCATTGTCTACCCTTTCCACGAGTACACAACGATCAGCTTGTCCAGGATTCCAAGGAAGACTAACCGGCACAATCGTTTCCGATTTCGGCGGAAGAACAATCTTCTTAAGGCTGTACACATTCCCTGGTAACGCCCCTTCCACGAAAAGTTCCTCTTGACCACATTTCAAAACACCTTGCTTAACGTTGATCTCACATCAATTCTTCGTCATAAAGTCTAGGCCTAGGATGCAGTTGTCCATTATATCAGCCACGATGACATTATGCAGGTAGAACATGTTGCCTAGCTTCAACTCCATCTCTTTTTCTCCACGGACGGGTATGCGCTGACCGGTGTCTGTCACCAAATTAATGCGTTCTCGGTTGTATGCGGAGTCCGGAACCGACTTATAAGTTGGGAGCTGACAACCGTGCGCGAGGCTCCAGTGTCTATGGTCAGTTTACACGGCGTTCCGTTGACCTCGCCCTTGATGATTAGGCTGTTCCCATCAGGGGTTCATGAGATCGAAATCCTTGGGGCTCTTTTAACATCAGCCAGCACCCGCCAGTTTCCCTACTGCTGCTGGGCGGTGCTGTTAGCCGCACTACCCTCTCGAGATCGATTACCTTCCCTTTCTACAGTTCGTTTAGGGCAGCTGGATCGAAGATGGCCCCTTTCCCCACAGCCGTAGCACCTAGGGCTGTAGCCCTTATTGCGGTCCCGAACTGTAGCTGCTGCAACGCGATGGGAACGATGATCCTGCCGCACGGCTTGCACCTCCAGTGCATGGGTCAAGGCGTCCTTAAGCGTCTCGTGGTGCCCGAGCCTTACAGCAGCTCTGACTTCAAGGTCACGGATGCCGTCGAGGAATGTCAGCACCAGGTTCCCTACAATGAGCGCAGGTACAGACAGGTATGCTTTTCGAACCAGTTTCTCCACCTCAAGGGCCCACTGCTGCAGATTTTCGTTACTGCGTTGCACGCGATCTTTGAGCTGTGCACGAAAGACATGTTCCAGGTGAGCGTCGCCATATCTTGCCTCCAATGCCTCAATGAGCTGCTCGTAAGTCACTTTCTTACCGAGAGCTTCCAGAACAGATAAGGCCTGGTCACGCAGGCCTAGGGTGAGAGCAGTCATGGCCTGACTTTTATTCCAGCCGTTTGCCTTCATGACAGCCGCGAATTGGATTTTGTAGGCTGACCAGGAAGAAGTCCCGACAAACGGCGGCACTTTGAATCCACGTAGCGAAGGTGTTGTAGCTACCACAGGAGCTGTAACTACATCCCCAAGTTTGAGGTTGTCCAGCGTTTTCTTCACGTCAGCCATCACGTTGTCAACCCGATTGTACACTTGGTCGATTCGGGTTTCAGCTTCCGACAGGCGGTTGACATATCGAGCAACCTTATCCTTCACCTACCTTATCTTTTTCCCAAAGGTAGCGTGAAGGTCCTTCATGAGAAGTATTTGCTCTTCCTTATCACGTTTGAGCTGTTCTTCCAACCGACGGCTCTGTTCCTCCTGTAGGCGGGCCTGTTCCTCCTGTCTACGCTGCAGCTGCTCTTCCAACCGACGGGCAGTCGCATCATCATCAGAGCACTTAAGCTGACTTAGGTGCATCTGCAGCACCTGAGTGCTGCAGATGCAGGAGCTGCTGACGCCCCGGCCTCCGTGGTCGGAGCTGGCCCTCCGACGTTTGCGGCGATGCATTACCAAATCGTCTCTGGTCCGTCTCCAGCTGGCGTTGACTTCGGGTACGGATACACTCCATGTCGTCCTTTGGTAAAATCTGCATATTTGATCCCACTTCTGACACCAATTGTTACGAGATTGGGGTTCGAGATAATTAAGAACTGCCGAGTGAATTACCAAAATTGACTATTTAATTACACAACACTAATTACAACTTAAAATCACACTAATAATAAAACACAGTTCGCCGTTATTTTGCTTCGAAGCATTCTCTTGCATCGCCAATTCAATACTACCCCGGTCGTGGTCGATACCGGCATTATATAGGGCCTCAGATAGTTTCCAGAACCTTCTACTGTAGCGACATCTAGAATTTTCGAGTACGTATCGGTCACGAAATTTCTGGAAGGATCTCGACTCTCCTAGTTCTGCTACTCGACACTAGAGGGAGCTAGTGTTACTAGTGTTGCCATGTATAAGACATTAATAGTGGCGCGCAACACTTTCTTTTACTTGACACTAGAGGGCTCTAGTGTAACTAGTGTTGCCATGTACAAGACATTAATAGTGGCGCGTAACAATATTTTATGTATTTTGGATATATCTAGTGAGGTCATAAATTCTGTCACACGCTTAATATAAAATAATTGAAACAAGTTTATTCATTATGTAACCATTTATATACCAAAATTAACTTAAAAAAACATAGATTCTTATGACACTAAATTTTATTCAAAATGACCTTCGTGATTTTGAATACAGGCCTTCAATCTGTGCGGCCAGTCGTCTATCGCAGTACGAACGAGGTCCATGTCAATATCGGCGACTGCCTTAATCAAGGATGTCTTGAGTGACTCCAAATTGGGATGAGGCTTTGAGCACGCCTTTTCCTCCAAGTGTTGCCATATCTTGTAATCTAACGGATTTAAATCTGCACTGGAGAAGGGCCAGTCTCCGTGCCGGATGAAGTCAATTTCACGCGCCGCCAGCCAGTCTTGTATGCTCTTCGCTCTATGAGCTGGCGTCGAATCTTGTTGGAATACCCAGTGCCTATTATTGAAAATGGTATGAGAAACAGGTTCCACAAGGTTCGTCAGGACTGTATTTTGATACACAACTGCATTCGTTTTTACACCTTTCTCACAAAAATGTACCTCTGTTAAGCCCCAATAAGAAACTTCCAACCATACCATGAGCGAGGATGGAAAATGACCTCGTTGGACACGCGGAATACGGTTGCTCGCTTCTTCACTACTGTGTGCGTACACCTTATCCCTGAGACTGAGACCCTGGCCGTGAGTTTGGACATAGCGAAGGCCTTCGATCGGGTTTGGCACAAAGCGCTTCTTTCGAAGCTACCTTCCTATGGAATTCCAGAGAATTTGTGTAACTCGATCAGCAGTTTTCTTGCAGATTGGAGCAACAAAGTCGTAGTAGAAGGCGCATGCTGCAAGACTATTTATGCTTGTGTTCCACAAGGCTACGAGCTATGACCCACGATGTTTCTTCTGCTTATCAATAATACGTTGCAAACCAGTAAGGTGCACTGGTGATGCTTTATACACCAACTATACCTACATTTCTCGGGAAAACGTCGCCAAGTACCACAAACTTGTGTCTGAAGTCCAGTCTTTGCCGGATAAGTTCTCGGATTCGGACGACTAAATATAATTAAGTTCAATGCCCAATAGACACAAGTTTGCGCGTTTACTACAAAAAAGAACCCCATACACTTCACTTACTTGTTGTTGTTTTAACTTTCATTAATCGTTTCACCATTTCGTTTCACTACTAACCACAGCTCTTTTGTATTTTATACTGATCTTACTTTTATATCTTTAAGTAATTATAGTGAAAAATCACCTGTTACAGTGTAGGTAATAGATAATCTCACTTCTACTTATTCTACAATAGCTCGGCTTCTAGATTAACAAATCTTGGCAGATTTTCAAGTATGAATTGTTTATATATACGCTTTGAAATGGTTCTAATTTCATCTTGTTAACATTTGGGCCCAAGAATGCATGGAGACGTCTGCTTCTCCTTTGATCAAGATCTGACTTGTAGCTTTTGAGACATCCTTACTAGTTGGATTAAAATTCGATCAGAAGATAAAATCAAATGGATCTCTAAAGGCATTAAACTCTGTAGTAGAAAACAAAGAAGCTTGCTGTGGAAATACAAATACAATCCTTCAAGCGAAAACAAAAAAACGTTCAAGACCTACTCACAAAGGTTCAAAAAAGTCATAAGATTTACTCAAATGGCACAAAATAATAACTTTATTAATAAAGCCCAAAATAAAACTAAGGCTGCGTGGCAAATAATCAATAATAATAATAAAAGAGAACCTATTTCAAAAATTATCAACCATGATGTGAAAATTGAGAATCCTAAAGAAATAGCAACATTATTTAATGATTTTTTTATTGACCAAGTAAATAATGTAACCAATAAAAAATATGATAAGATTATTGCCTTAAACATCAACTCAAATTCAATATTTATGACTCCGATCATTCCAGACGACATAGTTAGAGTAATCAAAACCCTTAAAAATACACAAAGTCATGGCTATGATGGTATAACAACCAAAGTCGTTAAATTTGTCAGCGTTGCTATAGCTGGGCCTTTAAGTCACATTATAAATATTATTATTGCTTCTGGTATATTTCCTGATAGCCTGAAAACTGTTGTAATTAAACCGCTTCATAAAAAGAATAATAAAGAAGATATGTCCAACTATAGGCCATTAGCATTGATTCCAATTTTTTCTAAGTTATTTGAAAAGATTATATACGAATCAATAGATAAATATCTGAATAAATATAATATACTGAGCAATGAACAAATGGGATTTAGGAAAAATAAAAATATTAATATGGCAGTATACAATCTTTTAACTAATATTATGAGGAGTGT